GGGAGCTGGAAGGTCTTTTTGCTCTTCCAGATGCTGCCTTTGACTTGCTCTCTGACCTTTTAGCTGCTCAGCATTTCAGCCTGAGACTTGCCAACTGTTCTGCAGCTCTCTGCCCGTGTTACATCACTTGACCCTTCAGCTACCAGAGGTTCTTCTCTATCTATTCTGTTTTGTCTGCTTTTTCAGATTGTAACAGATGATCTCTTGCAGTATGAATTTCTCTGTAGTATCAGAGAAAAGTCTGTAGTACAGAGCAAGTCTGAAGCGGAAGCCCAGGTAGAATCCTGTAAGATGTGTGACCACTCTGCTTCCTTTGTACCTTTACTTTCTCTGTCATACTGGCAGCATCAGCCTTATCTTGCAGCTGTATGCTCCGAAGTGAGGAAAAACCTGAGTGTGTGTAATAAGTAACCTGCAGAAACATAACAGAGATGGTGTTTTCCTTTCAACTTCCTCTGTAAGCTTGCAAAACTCTTCTTAGTGCTGTGCAATTGCTGTTAAATCAGACTATTTCAGGCCATCTGCACTTGGGAAGAGATAGCTATAGACCAACTGTATGCAAGTATGTGACAGTTTTCTGAGTCTTTTATAGATGGAGTCCATCTTAACTCGGAAATAGTCAGCCAGATTAGGAGGTGTGGTGGAAAGAACAGAGTTGCTTATGGTTGTCAGTGGAGTGTAACAGACAAAGGGCTCTTAGTTGTACAGCTTTGTTGTGCCTCCTGCTATTGCAAAAGTGGTGGAAGGATAAATATTGTCTGTCTGAAGATTGCATTAAAACAATGGAAATCAATCTTGAAACAACTGCCCAAAGTACATTATGGTACTAAGCTGTAATCACTGAGCTGCAGCACTTGCTTTGCTGTATGTAGCAGGAACTGAAGGATTCTGGGGACACCCAGAAAGACATAATCAAGTTACCAAAGTACACTCTCTAGTAAGAAAACCAATATGACTTTGCTGCTCTGTGGAGAAGAAATGCATTTTGGCAAGTAGAGAAATTACTCATTTAGGAGTGATTCAAAGCTCCCTTCAGTGCTGGCTGCAGAAAGGACGTAAAACAAGTGGGAAGAGGTTCTGATTTATTAGATCTTCATTTACCAGAATTTTGCATCAAAGACCATGCTTAATACCTAGACATTACCTTTACTTTGCTATTTCAGCAGCAACTGTAGAGCATCTGGCACACTTGAGCTTCCTGTCCACCAGCTTTCGATGAGTGCTGTCCTGAATATATTATGGCATGTTTCTTGATATTCTGATCCATTACTTGATTCTTGTAATGTGAGTTTATTTGATGTCCCTTAGTGGCTAGACTCACACAAGAATGGATGCTGCTGGCCCTGTGGATGGTGATAGAGGCTTGCTGGTGTCCAGATCTCATTTATGTGCTTTATACAGGGTGTATCTGAGCCAACACCCACCATAACTACAGAAGCTATATATGCATACACAGAAATTGATGTTTGATCCCTTAAGAATCCTAAGAGAATTTGCTAACTGATATTAATTGTAACTTGGTAAGATTTGAATGCATTCAAATAGTCTTTTAAAATTCTCTAGTGCTGTTTTATTTGTGCTTTTTATAGTCATGCTTGGGTCTGTATAAATAAACTGCATACTTAGAAAAGTTTGTATGCTGAATTCAACCTAGGTACTGAAGTATTATATTTGACCATGAGCTCAACGTCTTGGCAAAAGTACTGGCTCCTTCTTTTTGGGACCAATCCCCAAATGCACTGAGAATTGATGTCTTTCCATTCGCTTCACTGGACTGTGGATCAGTCCTTCTCTAATCTGATGCAGCTTTCATGATTTTGTCTGGCTGAAGAATTAATTATGTAGGCCTTGGAAGTGAATTATTTCAAGCAAAATATCTTCAGCCTATCCCTGATAAGACAAACATAAGAATGGGGAATTCACAGCCAGATGTTTGTGATTAGGGCTGCTACTGCCAGTAGCATAAAAGGCGCTCAGATGTCTCAGGAAGCCTACTGGATACAAGTATAATGTGCGTTCCAAAGGTGTTTGGAGAGCCACTGGCAAGTGCATGGCTGCAGCTTTTGAATTAAGTACAAGGCAGGAATGTTTCAAAATCTGTCCTTGCTGTAACAGGACTTGAGAGACTCTCCTTGCAGCGTAAAAATGGTTGCTAAGCAGTAGTGGAATGTCAACTCTTTGAGTATTTTTTAACCTCTTTGGATGTGTTTTCCTTTTGTACACAACTGATGAATAGTGCCTGGCTTGAAGTCCCCTGATAGGAAGAAGTAGGACAATCTTTTGCTGCTTGCAGCAGCTGCTCACAAATGTGTCCCATGTTGCCTCAGAGATACAGGTGTCTTCAGATGTAGTGCAGGATAACTGCTGACAGTGTTTTCACTCAACAGTATTAAAGTTTTTATTCAGGCAGACCAAACACAGAAGAATCAAAAGGAAATTCTGTGCTTGGAGGCAGAGCTCTGTACCTGAAAGAAGCTGAGAACCTTAAACTTAGACACTTTGCTTATGCAGCTCAGGGGAAATAAGCAGAAAGGAACCCAAAATTAGACATTGCTTGGAAAACTAGCTATATCTCATTTAAGTGTTGAAACACTGAAACCCAGTTGTATATAGCACCCTTGTGACATAAAGACTTTTATGATTTTTGGCACACAAATGTGTGTACATTTAGATGGCAGATATTATATAGCAAAAAATGAGTCTGCTGTTGATGGAAAATCTGAGCCTTTTGCAGGATATCTCTCAATGCTCCTGGTGCAGAGAAGTAAATTCTGTGCAGACTTGGGGTGTTTCCCAACAGGAGAGAAAGGGAAGCAGAATTGTGTTAGGCCAGAGGAGGTGGTTGGGGCCAGCGCTCTGGAGCTTCTCACCTTGATTTGTTTGGATCCAGATAGACCTTGGCCTGTAAAGTACAGTGTATGGTTGGATGGCAAGGGTGGAGATGGGTTACTGGAAGGGAAAGCTGGTGCAACTTTGCGTGCTGCAAATGTGTTCTCTAGGCCATGAGAAATTTCAGAGAGAATAAGATCATACAGCAAACCAGGGTTTCCTGCCAAATGTATCTTGTTACAGTCCTGTGACTATTCAATGTAACTGGATTTGTTGTGTTTTAATGACTTTTCCAACAATTTCCTGGCAAAGGGCTGAGATTCAGTGGGAGCTGCCCAATTCCATGTTTCAAGTATCAAGTGATACAAGTGAGCAGTAGCTGTGAAGAAATGCTTGCCTGCTCTTTGTGCACAGCACCAGCACAGCCTTTCTGCTTGGAGCATGGGGAATGGTGGTACTGATATTGATCTTTGAGCCAGTGCAGTGAGCAGGGCCGAGGCTGGAATGTTCCTTCTATTTTAATTTGCTCTTTCAATGTTCAGGCAAGCCTGAGAATGTTGCTCACAGCCAGCCAGGAGTGAATGGATTGTGTAGGATTTCTTTGACTCTGGTCATTACTTAAGCTGGAGGCTGGCCAAGTCTATAGAGTTTACTCTGGCAGAAAGTGCAAGTTGCTTTTCCTGCTCAGAAGATGAGCGTGAGGAATACGCTCATTCAGTGCTTGAAAATCTATGACTTTCTGCCTCATCTCATGAGAGTGAGAAGTCTTGGAGTACATTGGTATAATTCCACACTTTGTCATATGTTATTTACATACTGTTTGCACCTTGTTGTTCTCTGTGTTGGTGCCAGCACCCTGATATTACTGCAATTTATTTTTATGATCTTGGTGTTGAAGCAGCTGTAAAAACAACTAGTGAAAGTGAGCCAGCTGCTGGAATTTCTGATTCAGTCTGGTCGGTAGTAGGCAGATTCTGAAAGGAAAGGAGAGATGGAAAACAACAAATAAACTTAATCTCACGTCTAAATATAATAATGTGTAACAAAAATGTGTTGGGTGGCTGGAACTAGCTACTGAAGAGAATAATTTCACTGATAAAAATAATATGGTCGTTTGTATGGGAAGTGTCGAAGGATAGCATATCGCATTAGTTTAACAGAAATCTTACTCCCACATGTGAGAACTTAGTGCTTGTAGAAAGTTGTCTGTCTTGCACCTCATTTGTTTTAGTATTACAGAAGTACTTTGGTATATTTTATCAACAAGGAGATACACATCAATTAACACTTTGCTTGTCTAGCTAAAATACAAATACGTAACTCATGTACAAGTGTCAGTACTAGTGCAATGTGTTTGTGGAATGAAACAAAAACCTTTCACCCAAGTGGTAAGTTGGTTGTAACTTTGGTCAGACTCCTGTTTGTCTGGGGGACCTGGTTTCCTTAACACGGCACTAAGACAAGTAATTACCTAAAATTTTCTTTTAGTTCTGTTTGGAGGCTGGCCTAAGTGGCAGCAATAGGTCAAGCTGGCTTGGGGTTTTTTTTGTTTATTTTTTTTTTTTTCAGGGATGCAGCAAGGAGCAACATGTAGTCCAAGATAATCATTTCGGTAGTGCTAGGATAATGATTGGGCTTAGTGATCTTAGAGGTCTTTTCCGTTCTAAATGATTCTATGATTCTAATCTGTGATAAATTCCAGTTAGGGGGATTGGTTATGAGATGGGATATCTAATTATTTACTGTCCACCATACCTGGAGATTAACTTCATTACTTTACTTAAAAAAAAAAAAAAAAGAAGCTGGATTATCTGGTAAAGATATGTTAGATAATGGTGAGTGAGGTGTGGGTAGTAGGAAGCATCCTGCCTTCTTTAGTATGAAGTTGTACCATCAGTTCATTGCTTCTTACTGCCCATAATCCAGCAGTACTAACTTTGAGAAGAAAGCTGATGTCTTCCTCAGTGCCAAAGAAGATATCTGGCACTAGCTGAAAAAATCTTTTGTCTCTTTTCTGGTTTTTTTTGTAACAACTAATTTCATCATTATTGCATTCTCTTGTAGCTGGGTAGTACTCACTCAGCTGGAGGATGCCAAAAACCTGTTCGAAAATGAACAGGTTACTTCTTGACTTGTGATCTGACTTCTTTCCCTTTTCCTCTTCTGGGCAGGAGAGTTGCTCAGACCCAGTATGGACGAACACAATGGCTCTGTGGAGATGCCCCCAGCAAGCCAAGGGCGGCATGGCACAATCAAGTGTGGATGGCTTCGAAAGCAAGGAGGCTTCGTTAAGACCTGGCACACACGCTGGTTTGTTCTCAAAGGGGACCAGCTTTATTATTTCAAAGATGAAGATGAAATCAAGCCACTGGTAAGTGACAGTCCTAAGTTAACATAAGTGGAGTTGTCATATTTTAAGAAACCTCTCCTTTTCTTTGTCTCCGTAAAACATGAGGTTTTGTGAATTTGTGAATGCAGAACTGAGTCAGGCCTTGGCAGTTGCATGATTCCCCATATGATCTCTGAAGTTTCTTTTTCCCGGTCAGGTTTTCTCATTATAGCATTTTTAAAGGGAAGTAGTCCGAATGAAGCTCGAGTGGCAAAAATCAGTATGATATACTTACCTGAGGCATATGGATAAGCTGTATTTGTAAAGGTATTGGCTATTTTTTTACTATTTAAAATATTGGAGTATTTCTACTTTGTGTCTTTACAGATAGGAAATCCCCTAAGACTGTAGCCTACATACTTGCCATCTGTAGTGTAGATTAGACTTCTGTTTGCTGCCTGGTTCTGTTGTGGTAATTTACTGCTCCTTAATGTTCATCTACTTTCTTATTTAGCTTTTTGACAGGCATGCTTTAGGGCTGTCTATCTCTAGAGTGCCATAAGAACAGAGTAAATAACTTTTGCCTTTTAGCTCAGGGCAAGTCTGAACCCCTCTGATAATACATTGAGAAATCTTGTGCTAGCACCTTCAGCAGTGTGGTAGTTGATCATCCCCATCTGTGACTTCAGAAAATGCTCTGTGAATTATGAGTGCGATACATATATTCAAACATCTGCACAGTCATATCTTTGTTTATTCATTTTTGATGGTTTACGTTTATGAGGATTTTAACTATTGAGAAATGTAGAATTTGTTAATCCAGCTTCCTATATGGTAAGGGCCACAGCAGTTTTGTCAAGCTTACGGTGTGCATTATGCTGCACACGTTAAGAAAATATTCAGTCTTGAGGTAATTGTTCCCAAAGAAAGTACTTGTTTATGCTGCTTTCAGAGCATCATTTTCATGTGACAGCCTTGGTAATTGTTTCCTCTTAAAACACTGCCAGACAGCATAGGTTAACTAAATCATCTATGGTGTTTTTACATGTTATACATTAGTGCAAATGTTTTATGAGGTAATTAATTTTTTGGAAGTGAATGTATCTCTTATAATTCTGATAATCAAGAAAATTATCATCTGATAATAAGTCATCAAAACAAAAGTGTTTGAGCCAGCCTGGGTTTTGGGAAGTACAGCTCTTCTCCCTGGCACTTGGCATCTGGCAGCGTGTTTGCATATGAGGATGTCATTGCTTTTTTGAGAGGTGACACAATGCTGTATTGCATGGAGCATTTTACAGCCCTATGGAGCACAATTTTTTAATCTCTTTGCCATTACTTCAGAAGATGCTATCACTTTGCTGTATCCCTTTTGCAAGATGGAGGTGGATATTCTGATCTTCTGATTTCAATGATAAGTTTGGTAGTAGTTGATATCATTAGTTAAGAGTTTGCTTGAGTTTACAACGTAAGTGTGAAGTAGTTTATGAAGATGCCCACAGATAAAAAGGTTTGTTTCTGGTAGGCTTGGAATATGAATGGGCCGACTCAAATAGCATTTAGTCAGTGTCTCAAATTGTATGAGTATTGGTTGCTGAAATACATCCAAGCTTAATACCATATATGGAAGTGCTTTTTCCCTCTAAGTAAATAGAAGGATCTGTTGTGTTCAATTCAGTAAGAAAATTACTGTGACCTTCTAGGAGCCCTGGTGTGCTTTCAGTGGAGACATAAAGAGAAGATGTCAATGATAGGATCAATTTCCAGTGTCTGAAGAAATCGTTAGGAGGTAGAGAGCAGCATTATGTCAGTATTATACTGCAGCATACTATTGGATTTGTGTTCAGGACAAGTAATAGTTTATTTGTTACTAGATATGATTAATTTAGGCAATAATGTAATAGAAAAGGGAAGAGAGTTCATGAGGTTATTTTCCCCCAAACTGAATTGAAATTAGTATTTTGCTTTTTGGCTGGTTGTGCTTGGAAGCAGACACAGAGCTATGGTTCCTCATCTTGAGAAATACACTGTGCATTTATAGAAAGTAGGAGAACTTGAGCAGGAGTAGACAGTGAGCCAGTGAGTTTATCTTCCTAGTCCTAATGTGAATGTGGGAAATTCAGATTACAGCTTATGGTTCTGAAGTATCTACTGAATTCACACCTGCCTGCACTGTGTTTGGGACTTGGGTTTTGTCCAGTCTGTACTAAAAACTACACAGTGATGTTTGTATGGATGGAGACGTGAATGGAACTGAATTTGAGGAAAAATGAGATGTCAGATTTTAATCTAAGATTGACTGTATGACAGGAGTTAACAGAATAAATACCATCAGTTTATATCTAAACTATCAGTAAATACTCTTGACTTTCCACAACATGCTGTTAGTATTACAAGCAGCTGCAACAATTACTGAAGTATGTGTGTACATTGACTAGCACTTTGGTATCAGTTTGTTATAGGCTTCAATTTAACTGTGAGGTAAGCTCTCTGCCAACCTGTATCAGCTGCCTACAGGCACACAGTGCAAGAAAGCAGAGGGAAAAGAATACACAGCTATTATAGTCAAAGTCGGTGACTTTTCATTTGTTCCCTATTATCATCAAACACGATTTCACCCTTGAAATATTTTAGTGATAAGAACAGCAGTTGTCTTTTGCTCTGAAATCTGTGAAATATCTTGGAGGATCTGACTAAGATGGCAGAACTTTTCAGAAAATGCAGGTGTGGATAGAAATAGATGTAGTTGCAGGAGACAAAAGAAAGAAGTGAGCAAGCCCATAACATGTGAAGACATCATATTTCTGATTATTCCATGTTATTTTTGCCTCTTGGAGAGGATACAGGATTTTTGCCTTGGTGATTTTTACCTGCTGCCTCTGGTAGTCACTTTATTCCTGACTGCCTGTTATGTTTTAAAAAGCCACTATTAAGCTAGATCTAAAGGTCAGCTATCCAGCTTGACATGTGGCTGGCTGAAAAAAAAATCAGCATTTAGTATCCTCCATAGTACAGCTGTTATGTGCAACTAGTGAAAACATGTGTCTCGCTTTCCCCTCTGTCCATGGTTAACTTCTCTGGTTTGTGAATAGCAGCAAGGAGTTTCCAGATGTTACCTTCTTGTTGTAGCTCTCAGTCTTACTTGAAGTGAGTTTCTAGAAGCAAACCTGTATGGATGGAGTATCACTGATGTCTAAATGAATAAGAATAGACAAGTTTGGTCTAGACAGCAATTGTGGCTTAGGCACCTGTTTAGTTGCTAGTCTACAGCAGTAGCCTGCATGTTTATGGACTTGAATTTGAGGTGTGAAGAGAGCTTAAAGATCTGCAAAATGACTTCCAGGAAAAACTTGGTGTATGCCTTAAAATTGATGTTAATCTTATTCAGCTTATATACCATCTTGAACTACTTGGCCTGTAGTTTTTGTTCTCTAGATAAAAAGAGGTGGAGTCACTGTCCCTGGAGGTGTTCAAGAGCCATGGAGATGTGGAGCTGAGGGACATGGTTAGTGGGCATGGTGAGATGGAATTGGTGATCTTAGCAGTCTTTTCCAACCTTAATGATTCTGTGATTTTGTGAGTCAGCCTTTAATTGAAACTGAACAACTGTCTGCTGGAATCTTAAGTACAGGTAACCACCATCTGTAAGGGAAAGATTCTCTCTGATGTACAAACAGAATACTTTAAAGTACTGCTTTCCAGCAAAGTATGTGCTTTTCATCTAATCCAATTTGTGTGGAGGAAAGAAAAAATGGCAGTGTATTCCATTTAGTGGCATTAATAGGAAGCAGCCAACAAATTTCAGTTGGATTTTTTTAAAGCTTCCAGTGAATGTATTGAGTAGAAATTAATACGATAATTACAGGAATCTAAAATGAGTCTGCCCATAAGGGAAACCTGTGAGTACTGGATATGATGAAAGATTGAACATCATGCTTTTTTACAAGTAAAAAAGGAATAGGTAATGTTTCCAAGCATATGGGAAATCTTAATTGTACATGCATTTTAAAATTGCATTGCAAGAAATGACTATGTGCTTGTTATATAGAGGATTTCCAGTAAGGAAAAGGAGAGTTTTATTTATCATAATCCTTGTCAATGGAAATGCACAGGAACCAGCTTTTGTGTGAATGTGAAGAGCAGCACAGCAGGCAGAACAATTCTCCATAGATACTGCTTGAAGTGTAGCTGCAGCTCCTCTGGTTGTGATGGGGGAGGATGATGTGGAGAACACCTCTACATGCTTGGTTGGCTTCGTGTGCCTCACTCAAAGACCTCCTACCATCTCTTAAGGAGTAATTAAACACATGGATGGAATGCAAGGAGATCCAGTTGAATCCTACATGAGGCTTTTAAAAAAAGTCAGGTGACCTAGTGTTCTGCAAGAGTACGGTCAGCTGCCAGCATGCATGTAACATGCTCTAAAGCAGTTCTTACCAAAGACTGCCAGTTGGCTTTGCTGCGTTTTACCTAAAATAGGAAGTAACAAACATGCAAGGGGCTCCACTTTCAGATGTCTGAGTAGGTCTTATTTTAAAAAGCTCTGCCTCTACTCCATTGTGCTCTGCCCATGAACTACTTGCTTCTGGATACGTCTGCGCTGCAGGTTGCAGCAGAGCAGCTGCTAGTTTTGGGCTCAGTGCAGCCCCCACCTGCTTGTTCTTCCTATGCCATTGCTGTTCTGTTGTCTGGAACATAAACTCTCCCATATTTTCCTTTTCCTTTACTGCTTTCAGATTCGCAGAGAGGTACTGCTCATTTCAGCTTTGTATGCGTCATGCAAACTTGAAACAGATTTTTGTGTTAGCCATGTGTTCCTGATGATTTTTCCTTTGAAACACTTAGCTGAAGGAAGAGAAGCTTCTATGTAACACATCTTTCTATTTAGGGCAAGTGCATTTTTTTCCTTTCGCGTCATTCTTGGTCTCCAGTGATCATACGATCCCTCAAGTTTTAAATCAAGAAATTAACTTCTTAACACTATAACTGAATGAGTTTCAGATTAGAAGAGTTGCATTCTATGTGATTTGAGTGGTAGAATC